CATCAGAAAAGTTATATCCAGCCGTGATCTGAAGCCAAGCATTCATAAATTGGAATCACAAGTGGCATGTTACATAAACTAGCTGTCTGCAAGCAAAATACAGGGAATTTCGTCTTCATGCAACAAACAGCGTGTATTTCTTGAGTGGGAAGCTGTGCAATCTGCTACTCTGACAGAGCTCTTTGCTTTTAGCACAAACTCCCTCACCCTACCATCATTATATAATATCACTAATATAATTTACCGAACTACAGTTAAAAAATAAAATAAAATCAGACGACCTCGATAAGGCCAAAAAGGGTTTGGCAGGCTATGAGGGTAACTGGGCTGTGGATGGATCCTCCTCCACGTTCACACAAAGCCAAGCACGTCCCGGGCACTGCCATTCACCGACCACCTACACCCACCTCCGACCTCCGGCCACGGACACACAGGTTGCCTTTGCAGCCCGACGGGCACGTTCCTGACCCGGGCTACCCAGCCTCCGTGTCTGGTACCGCACAGTAGGACACTCTCAAGTGAGGAGCAGTGCAGGAAAGAGCTAAGCAAGGGGACGGAGACAGGAGAACGGAATAGATGACAAAATGAGAAGGGACTGGCTCCTCAACATGAAGGAAGAGTTCCCAGTTTGTCATTTTCCACCCAAACACCAGTTCGTTGACAGTGACAGAAGCTAGTTCTATCCTGAAAGACACTGTTGGCTGCTAAGTTTTCCAGTTTTCTTTTTTTCCTTGGCAAATCTGACTGATTTTTTTTTTTTGCAAACTAAACAACTGCTGGAAAATTGCTACTGCTAATAAATTCACTGTTGGTTGTGCGTTGTTTATTTTTTTCTTATAATACGTGCTGTACCAGTTAGCGAACTCTGGGGTAAAGCAGAGCCGCTCGGTCAGTCAGTTTTACATGCGTGAGGACATGCTGTAACACAGGCCTGACTATGCTAATAGAGTCATTAAAACACAAGAGGAATAAAGGTTTATGTACAAACCTATCATCTGTTGGCAACCTACAGGAATTGTTTACCTAATTAATTATCCAAATCTACCCCAAAGTTTTCAAACATTAATTAGAATTTTTAGTATTCCTTTGTAAAGGCAAGCTGTTCCGCATTGGAGCCGGTGAAGACTCGCTTCCTTCTTGCATTTCTGTCCTGTCCTCCAAAACCGTCACCCGCACTCCGCGCCTTGCCATGTTTCCAGCCATCTGTTGCCAACAGACTGACTGCAGAGCAAGCTACGGCTACGATGAACACCCCATCCCCGAAAGTAAGCCCCGAGGGAGCCATGCAAAGGTGTGTGTATCACAAAACTAGTGGAAAGGCGACATTACTTGGACGTAGAACTGAGTTATAACAATTCAGTGGAAGTTTCTATTGAAGAACCGACTGCTAAATCAGCTGGAAAGAGTAAAAACATTCTTAAATTTAAGTGTCTGCCAGCACAAAGCATAGCCAGGTCCCTTATCAACAGCTTTCCACGCGAAACTAAACAGAAGTCTAATACTTAAGCTCTGTAGAAGAGAGGCAAGTGATAACATATTTCTTTTACGTGTGGAAAAGCTCCTGTGAATTCTATGTTTAGTTCCATTCATCTCACCAGTACACCACCATTTGGCCACTTGTGCTTACACAAATGTAAGTGATGTAAATGAATGTTCCTTTTGCTGAAACAAGAGTTGGAAATAATTCCATTAATTTAATTAGTTTTGTCCCTCGCATTCCTTCATTTAAGTACATAAACTCTAAAAATTACATTAATAAAGATGTTTTGCAACTTTGGGTACCTATATTTAAATCTACATTTCTTTCTGACTGTCACAGATCTTTTGTATTCATGCGTTGTTTTTTTTTTAATATTACGTTTGTCCATGACCAAATATTGCACTTCCATATTTCATAACATTTGCTCAGCTCCCCCTTCTTAATACCAAGTCTCTAGTCTGCATTATATTGATATTTAAAAAGGTGCAGCTGTCCTTTCACTGTTATAACATCTAAATGTCATAATTTATGGTGAATATTACGCATGAACTATCTAAAGTTTTGGGTTTGATCACAAAAGCTGAAGAAGTGAAGACGAATAAAATGAAGGCCCACGAGTAACACTGCAGACACACCAGCAGACTGCTGGGTACCTGGCTGTGCACCAAAGCATTCTCAGCATCTCTTATCAAAAGTTCTTTATGTGCATTTCAGTATTTATATTTGCATTAGCTAGGAAAACAAAAAGCTCCAGCATTTCTATCTCTTTTACACCCCTTTCAAGTTTCTCCTTTTTCTCATCTACTCTATTTCTAACAGAGTCTGCCTTTTTGTAACAACTTCTCAGGCTTTTGTAAAAAAGCGCATTTGGATTAGTACAACACCCTAGAGAAAAACATTTGCCATTTAATCACTACTGTTGAAATACCAGTACTGTTGAAATATCCCGTTCTCCCTTTCAACTATCTACAAGTGATATTTAGGTTCTTAGCAGAAAACTCTTTTTAAAATACGAAGTTGTAGAACAAGCACAGCATACATATTATTACTTAGTATACGACTGATTAGACAGAAGAAAGTAATAGCTGTTTGTCAGCTATTTGACATACGAAGCTTCACAGAGAAGTTACACAAAGAGAAGAGGGATGTAGATTTATCACTAATCACTCTACTGCTTCAGCCCGGCAGTGAGCTGTGCTTGCCGCGATTCTATCGATTTTGACAACAACTGAACACACTTATGTTTAATTTTTTACCTAATCTGTCTTCAATGCCTTTCATGTTGCTTTACTGCTCTCATCAGCCTAGGAAAAGGCAACTAGAGGGTGAAGGACTAATAACAGCAGACAAGGCATCTATCCAATCATTTTTTTTAAAAAAAAGATTATTTTCTGAACTAGCAGGGGAGGGGGACAGATATCAGTCAGCATTTTTTCAACATAAAATAACCCAGCTGTATTACATGTGCCCTTTTTTCTTTTTCATGAAGTAGCCACAAGAAAACATGATACAGCCCCAGTTAAGTAGTTTAAAGGATCACAAATACAAGAATTAAACCTGCTTCAGATGTGCCAAAACGAACCTGACTGGAAATTTAACGTGCTGAATTCAGAGCAGAGATGCCAGCACGTTTTCCACGTGCCCTTGCTCTTTTCAAACATACAGTACCCGGTATGCTACCAGATATGCTCAAGTTCAAAATCGGCAACCATTCAAATATGCATTACTAATTATTTTTTTTTTAAACAACAAGAAAAACCAGATAATGGTACGACAGTTCCAGGCCCAGTGCCATACAAGTCTTGTTAATAGGTTTCTTTCCGATTTTCAAACCAGACACTTATGTTAAGCGTTTCCATGCTATACGAACAACTTCTGCCAGCTGAAAACTGTTCCACTGAAAAGTTAGATAGGTTTATATACCTGGAAATGAAGATTTGGGAGATTTTTATAGTGTAATAGGAATTAATCTTACAGGTAATGTTTAAGCCCAACACACTTCCAGCCAGCAGCAGAATCTAAGTTAGGACAGGCAAGAAAGACCAACAGAAGTTACAATATTCCTTGTTTACCCACATTAACTCTTTCTCTAACAACTGGGAAGCAGATAAGCTTTCTAAAACATTAACACAAGAACAGTATATCGACAATAGTCAGCATGATCTTCATTGCAGAAAATGCTATGGTACCGCCATATGGAGCAAGCGTAGCCTCAATAGCTGCGCCCTCAGTGTAAGAAGCATTTTTACTTGTCAGACACCTCATAAAACCAACTTAGAGACCTCCCTGTAAGTTGTTTAGTACTAGGAAATCGTTAGCCTGCAGGAAAATTGTTGTGCTTCTTTACACTTCTTGTTTTGAAAAATTTCATCCGTGCTCTATTCTATAAACATAGAATAGCCAGAACTGTACTCGCTTTACAGTTTCACTTAAATTGCATTACAGACAGAGAGGCAGTTCATCAAAGGACTTATTGCAACTAAACCAGCAGATACGAGAGGGCGAGACAGATGTGTGCAGCATTAATCTTTTTAACCCCTGAAATGTCAAGTTAAAAATCTTAAAAAATGATTCCCCTGCAGCATTCTACCAATATTCCGCTCATTCACCCAGGGGCTTCTCACAATAGCGGCTCAGAAATCTGCTCCTGTTAGTTCCGAGCCGAGACAGAGGTTTTTACCCAAAACATTGGCACAGCGCGCAATCCTCTGTCACTGCCCCTCAGGCTGCCCAGAACAAGGCTCACACACGCACCAGCAACTGAGGGGTCACCAGAAACAACAACAAAAAAACCCAAATGCAAAGAAAGTCAAAGCTTTTCATTCTTGAAGTCCTAAGAGCTGTACAGAAATTTGAAAGAAAAACCTATTTCCCAGTTCCATACCATTGTTACGGATGAATTTTTCCCAAGAAATTGTTAGATTCCATTTAAGAAACTTCCAAGCATTCATTTCTTGTCTGTTTCTTATCTTGCATTCAAGAAGTAATGATGGCAGAGGTCATTAAGTGATTGCAGTTTTCTTAATTTTACTATACAAAGGTGATGTAAACTCTGATTAACTATTCTAAAGCAGTTTTTCACAGTCCATTCCAAAGCGTCTCGTTTCTCTGTATGGCTACTTTGTACCAGCACATGAAGCCGTCTAACTCAAAATTCCGCGACTAAAATCTCATGAGTTGCATCCACAACAGTCAAAGTTAACAGGATTTCTGAGTAAAAGTGCAGCCAAAGGAAAAGATGTTGAAACACTAAAACTGCAGCATTTCCAAAATAATATATTCAAAATACCATATTAAGAGAGGCCAATGAACAGTTCACAGCCTCTTCCCTCTGACATTCGTTTCAGGACTCATACAGAGTAACCCAAAAGCCGCTTGCACGCGTTTACTGCGGCTAACACTCAAACCGTGTTTCCAGGCACGCCGTCCAGATGCCCTCGCTTTTTGCTTCCCTTTGCTTTCTGTAACGCAGTGCGGTGCATATGAATTTCAAGTTAAAACCAAAGGGGTTGGGCCTTACCTCTGTCGCTGAAGTCATCCACGAGAATGATTTCTGCTATCAGGCTGTCCGGAGTGCGGTTGATAATGCTGTGTATCGTTCTCAAGAGGGAAGTCCAGCCTTCGTTGTGAAACGGGATAATTATGCTCGTATTTGGTAGCTTTTCCAAGTACACCTTGTGCTTACAGCTGGAGAGAGAAGAACACAATTGCATGAGCACACGGAAAAGCCCGAGTTGGCAAATACTGCCATCCTTTTGGGCCATTCAACCACGATGGTTTCTGGCATAAACCTCAACAGTGTAATCAATCAGTACTTTCACATGACAAGAACTAGTTCATTTAGAACACTCACATTGCTTACAACATACAATAAATCTGAAAAATGACAAAACTTTAGTACAGTGACTGAAGTTCGATTCTTTTCCTACTGAAAGCTTTTTTGTGCAAAATTAAAGGACATATCTTCTACATTATTTCAAAATCACTGAAAGCTTTTTCGTGCAAAATTAAAGAGGACATATCTTCTACATTATTTCAAAAAATAAAAAAAATTCCTCTTATGATCCTTCTTTTGTCCACAGCAGACAAAATTTGTAAAAGCATTTTGCTATACCAAGAGACAAACTCTTCAAAGAATTGCAAACAATTTACTACTACCCCGCCTGACGTCTGCTCAGTGTGCAAAACAAGGATGTCCACAAACAGCTCCAACTTCACGTTCGCATATCCAAAATGATTGCGGCTATTAAGTACAGACATACAACCCACATGACTCTGAAATGCAGACTGATACAAGCAAGAAAATATAAAGCACCTTCCGTTTTTGGAAGGGAAGCTCTGCCCCCTCAGCATCTCAGTCGAACAGCATTTGTGCTGTGTCAGCGCTTAACCTGCCCATTTCAGCACGGACTTCTTCACGGATTTGAGCAAAACCCCATTCTTTAAATAACGGCCTTGCAATTCAGTTAGCTGAGAACGTTCTGTGACTAAAGTTTGTTATTGAAACTGATAGGATCTCATCTTCCATGTTTTACTGAAAAAGCGGGAAAAGGGACACACTCCCCTGCTGGTAACACGGCATTTTCAGCTCTGGGGACAAAGGAACTGAATGATTTCTCATTCCCCAGGAGAAAGTCACACCCTGACAAAGGTCTCCCTACCAGCAGAAACACATCAGCTCTGCAATAAGAAAAAACAAACCACAAAACTTAAACCTGCCACTTGTAGGTATAGAAAAGCAGAGACATCCTTGCTGCTTTTCAGAAAGAATAACTATGTTTATCAAACACTGCTGTAGGTTATAATGTTGATTTGCATATATTTACAGCTTAGCTTGCATTTCCACTTTATAAATGTCACTTAGAAATCAATATTTACCAATTTCTTGTACAGCTACCACACTGAAGAAGTGTTCCAAAGAAATAATAAAAACCCATAGCTCATACAGTTGTATTTGCAAATATTAACTCTTAATGTAGTTGGGAATAAACCATCAAGTTTTTGGATGCTTTCCTAAGAAATAAGATGTAAATTTGTAATTCAGACATTTCTTCCTAAAACATGGCAACGATGTATTTAATGACAAGCCATTTGCAAAAATCATACTTTTTGAAACTTTTTAACAAGCAGCTTGCTGGTAGAACATATGTGCAGGCTGGAAAAAGGAGAGCTGCTTCGCAGGAATGTGCAGTTCTGGAGAAAACAGTGCTCATTACCTACTGACGGAAAAGGCTAATATATTTTCTAACATTTTGGGAGGAAAAAAAATCCACCGCAGCAACAGAATTAAGTAAAAAGTCTTTTTCTTATCTGTCGGAAGATGTACAACAAAGGAAGCCATGATTAATATGTAGCTGTTTCAGCTGGCAAATTAAGAAAACCACCTACCAAACCCACCTCCTACCGCTGCCAGCTGTTTGCCAACACTGCTGCTTCTCAGGCCAGCACCAATGCAGCTGCTGCACATCCATGTAATTCTTACGCTATTCAGGAAAGCAAGATTTTTTCCTTTAGCGTTTTTAACGGCCAGTATAATTTTAAAAGTAGTAAGTTTCCCAACTCCATAAAACCCTAGGCCAAAAAACTTAGAGTTTGTTTTCATGTCAACACATAAAAACAAGCAAAGGAACCCCACACATCAGAGTACAACTTCTAAAGGGTAAGGGGAAAAAAATACCCCAAACACACCGGAATGGTGTTTCTTTTTTTAAGATGTCACCCCTCCTCTATAACAATATACCTTTTGAAAGAGGTTGTACAGAAATTTGTGTATTTCCATGGTCAATATTGTAACCTTAAGCACATATAGATGGGGAAGACCATTGGATTTGGATCGTCTCATCGTTGGCTTCAGATTAACTGCATATTCTATGAGAAGGAGAAGCAACATCGGTGGACTTCAGTTTAAAACAATTTCATTCTTACTACAGAATAGGTTGCTCTAGCAACCCTAGAAGAGAGCCATGCTTACAAGATAGGAGAGGAAAATACCTGACATTTTCTTAACAAGCCTCCATCATTCCACTTTGACCTTTAACCCTCATTTATATTTACTTTTACTTTGATAGTCATTGCAAAGGCACCTGGCTATATGTGAAAACTGGAAGAGGGGAGATTTAGAATAGATATTAGGAAGGAATTCTTGGCTGTGCGGGCGGTGAGCCCCTGGGGCAGGTTGCCCCGAGAAGCTGTGGCTGCCCCATCCCTGGAGGTGGTCAAGGCCAGGTTGGACGGGGCTTGGAGCAACCTGGGCTGGGGGGAGGTGGCCCTGCCCCGGGCAGGGGGGTTAGAAATAGATGATCTTTAAAGTCCCTTCCAACCCAAACAATTCTGTGATTCTAGCAAAGAGCCACAAACCACCCGAACCCCCTTTTTTCCTACTTTCGTCAAAAAAGCTGGTCATATCCTCAAATCCACAGAAGCGAAGCCTGAAGCTTCATCATCCCCTAGGGTTAAGACAGCCTGTTCGGTTTCATAGCAGTGGCGTACTTGTCTTTCTGCAGCAAGTTAAATTCCGGCCGTTTTTAGCCCCTCGCTCTCTGGCATGAGAGTAACTGTAACAGAAGATCACTGTTTTAGAAGGCACAACACAGAAATCCCTTTTATTTGCAGTTGCGTTCAGCATAAGTACAGCAGAGCATAGCTGGCTCTGCGCTGCGATGGGCTGCAGGAGGGGCCCGAGGGAGAGCTGGAAGGCTCAGGGAATTCCAGTGAAGGTGCAGCTAGGCATCCGCTGCTGAGACACTGGTTTTACTAAGAGAATAATCATATAGGCACGCAGCATTTATTCAAAGTCTGACAGCGTGGATCTTTATATTCTGCGTTTCAGAAGTGCTGCCAAACGCCCCGGCCGCAAGACGACTGCTTGGAGGCACAGACGTTGCTTCGCGCGAGCCATTGCTTATCTTTGAAATAACCATCAGATCTTTCTGCCCAGAACAAAGAACTAGTTATCATATCACTAGGTCAGAGTGAAGTCCATAGTCACAGACTTTTACTATATTTAAATTTATTAATGGTGCCTACAACACCAAATAAGCCAGCCTAGGTAGGTGTACGATACACGCATTAGGCAGGAGAGATAACAGGTTCTATATGCAACAGTAACTGACGTAAATCCATAAAGCTTGACATACATAGATTTCTCTTATCTGATATTTCAACTCATCTGCATTTTACTGATGAGAATGATGTTTAAACTTTGCTGATGCTTCCTGGTTTATCAGATAAGCTACTAGAAAGAGACTCTTATCATTAACTGCAACAATTTTGCATCAGCGTCAAAGGTTTTTAGGAGTGTTCTTTGAACACTAGTTCATTATCAAAAATTCTGTAGAGTGCATTTGGAGAGGTGCTGACAAAGTTTGATCACAGCTTCAAACTAAGCTTGCTTTATTATTTCTGCTGGCACCAAGGTTCTAACATACCTCTTAATAAATATCTATTTTCTTTTTCAGCCACCATAAAGTCATACTTTCAAGAATACTTGCTTTTTTTGCTCTCACCAAAATAATCCCAACATGATAACAGTGTTTTAAGCGTTCCTAAGCAAAATACAGACCTTTATTTCAATGATTGCTCTTTAAAAGAAATTTGGGTAATAGCTTAACTACCATGGGGAATGAATGTTTCAAAAGTGAGATTTTTGATTCCCCAAAGAAATGAGAAATTATAATAATTTGAGAGGCTTTCGTATTTACTGAAGAATACGATCTTATCAAAATTTATTCAAATAAAAAATAAAGCACTGTTTACCATAGAAAGGAAAAATGCTACGTATAAAAAGTTACCATTACCACCCAAATTTACAGTGTTTAAGTGAGCACTAATATTCATTAGGTAAAACTTTTTGAATTAAGTATGTTAAATGGAATTGGCCTGATTTCCTATAGAAATATTTCAAATACTGCTAAACAAGATAATTTTATTTTCCAAAGTCTCACAGTTCCAGTGGAAAATTTTGTCAAACTTGTATCAATTTAGAAAAAGACAGTACTTGCAGCCACGAGCTGCAGTTGTCAGCCTCCGCCCGGAGACGCCGCCACTGAGCGCAGGCACGATGTGACAGCAGCCGGAATGGCAGAATAAAGCGTCCAAAGAACACACTGACTTTCATTAAAGCATGGAATACTGGGAAATCTACAAAGGCCTGGAAATAAATCCTAAAAATCAATATTCAAAAGAAGGTAGGAGACTTAAGACAGACAGATAGGCAGTTCAGCCACTTTCAGTCAAGTCAGGGTTTGCTCCAAGATCTAACTCAGCATAGAAAAGATTGTATAGTTGATGTCAATCAACATCGCTTTATGCTATCCTTTTCATTAGCAAATCATAGCACAACCGGTAAAGGCAAATTAATTACTGTAGAGCTTTAGTATCATATCATATTCTGATTAAGGAATTAAAAAAACAACAAAAAAGTCAGTGAGGAATTGAAAAAGAGAGATGCAACTACAGGGTCTTTCAAAATAATTTGTAATAAGGTTATTATTTGCTATTTTTAGTTTGTTTCCATCAGGACTAGGTTTCACCCTGGTAGTATTTTCCACTGGATTAACTTTTAAAATAACTCATGAGAATTTTGCAGTAACAAGATTGATTTGAACGGTAAATGAAGATGAAGACCGGTCATTTGACTCTGATAACTCAGCCCCGTACACGTTGTAAAATGGCTCGTTGGAATAAAC